GCATAAAAGCCGGGGAGATGGAGCAGGAAGGCAGCCACCAGAAGGGAAGTGAAGCAGCTCTCCAGGACCAGCCACTAGCTCAGCAGCCCTGCAGCCGAGACAGACACCCACGGCAACACCGTTGGGCATCTCAGGAGTTTAGAGGTCTTCTTGCACTGCAGCCCCCTTGCCCCATCGTCACCCGCTCGCCGTTGGGATCTTATCAACAAAATGCTGCACCTCGGCTTCACCCTGCTGCTGGTGCTGGTGCTGGGGGCCAGCCTCAGGGCCAGCCTTGGGGCCAGCCTCGGGGCCACCTTCTCCCAGGACACCCCGAAGAAGGACTGCAGCCTGTCCAAGTACCAGTTCCTCTTGCCTCAAGAGACGCGGGCCGTGCAGAAGATGAAGGACGAGTTTGTGAGTACCGCTGGCAACGGGGGCTGTGGGCTGGCGGGGGCAAGGCAGAGGGGATGCGAAATTCCAGACCCTGAGTGACAAGGGAAATGTTTTCTGCAGCGGTTTGGGGATGAAGAGGATGTTTTCCAATGGAGTTTGGGGACAAGAAGGATGCCGGGCCAAATGTCATCCTGGTTTCAAACCCCTCGAGGCTGACCAGGGTTGCACAATGTCACCAAAAGTCAAGGGGACAGTTTTACAATCTCTGTCTTGGTTTATGCCTGCAGGAGAAGATCATGCTGCTGTCGGACCGCCAATGCAACACGAGGCTCTTCCATCGGAAATGGAAGACGAAAGAACTGTTGGTAAGAGCCTAGCAATGCTGTAAAAAGGAGGGGGTACACCCCCCTCCAGCCGGGACCATCCGTCAGTGTCTTGGTTTTGTTGTCCACCAGCCAAACATGGTGGCCTTGAGCTCCAGCAGCAACTACTTTTATCAATGTTCTTCTCATAACAAGTCTGAATTGAAACACTGAAACTAAAACACAACTATTCTAACCACTAAAAATAAAATTATCCTAGCAAAACCAGGACAATCAGCTGGTCTCATCTTCATCTGCATCCCCAGGCAGGTTTTTGAGACCCCCCCATCCTCCAGCCCCTGGCCAGCCCTTGCACTTTGGGTCTCTAACCAGGATGCTCCCACCCGCAGGTGCCTGACCGGATGAAGCTGGTGGAAGCTGAGCTAGACTTCGCCATCAACATGCTGGAGCTCCTCACCGAACCCGAGCTCGGCGAGACGCGCGAGCAGCCCCTGCTCCTCCTCACCCAAGCCCGGGAGGACGTGCGAGACTGCGTGAGTGCCCCCCTCAAAGTCCCCTGCCCCAGTGCCGGTGTCAGCACCGTGGGGCATTGCCGGTCCTCATGCCGCCGCTTTCCTTGCAGTTGACCACAGAGCACGTGTCCTCCAGGAAACTGAGGCACTGGCTGCAGAGGCTGGGGATGGCCAAGGAAACAGTAAGTCAGGCCAGAAGGGCGAGGGGGTTTCGGGGTGTTAGACCTGCTTGCACCCCATCTGCGGTGCTGACCCACCCCTTCTCCCCACCACAGGAGACCACCGGCTGCCTGGAGGCCTCCGCCATCCTGAACCTCTTCCAGGTGCTGAACAACCTGCAGTGCGCAGCCCTGCGGGAGCGATGCACTTAGCACACACCGGCACGGCACGGTGCTCACCCGCCCCAAAAGCTGCTCCAAGGACTGGGAAAAACTAACGTTTATTGCAACACTGGACTGTATTTCCTATTTAAGCATTTTTCTTATTTATTTGAGCTCAGGGATCAATTTTTTCTATTATTTTTTTTTCATAGACTTCTAAGTTATTGGGGTTTCTTGTGTATTTATAAATGGCTCAGGAGGATGTAAAGAAGGGATGTTTAAAGGGGATGGATGTATTCACTGGATATCTTTGTTTTGCTGGTTTTCAAAACACTGGTTGTTTTTAAGGATGTCTATTTTTTTACCTGCTATTTATTACAGAGTATATTATGTATATTTGCCTGCATAACTTATTTTTGTACGTGCTATTTAATACGAAAAATAAAATGGATACCACAGACAAGCTGCCATCGTGTGTTTTCACTACATTTTGTTATGATGTCATCCCTTCAGGAAAGCGGGTTACTGGGGAGGTGAGCGAGGACATCGAAGCAAATTTTGAGCATTTGAAAATTATCATAGAATCATAGAATCCCAGACTGGTTTGGGTTGGAAGGGACCTTAAAGCTCATCCAGTTCCAACCCCCCTGCCAGCAGCAGGAACACCTTCCCCTC